ACTCTACCCTACAGGCGCACACCGCCACCTTGCACTCTACCCTACAGGCGCACACCGCCACCTTGCACTCTACCCTACAGGCGCACACCACCACCTTGCACTCTACCCTACAGGTGCACACCGCCACCTTGCACTCTATTATACAGGTGCACATTGCCACCTTGCACTCTACCCCACAGGCATACACCGCCACCTTGCACTCTACCCTACAGGCGCACACCGCCACCTTGCACTCTACCCTACAGGTGCACACCGCCACCTTGCACTCTATTCTGTACGTGCACACTGCCATCTTTAGGACACAAGTGATATCAGATAAACCTCAAGGGGCCCCATGACAGCACACTCATTCATTAATGGTCATGTATCTTTTGTCCATTGTCCTTGCCACCTATGAAGAAAAGGTATGGCTAAATTCAACAACCAGGTATAAATGATGTGGAGTGGTTATTTCTAACAATGAAGTCTTAGGTTGAAAGAAGAATGATCTTGTTCGACAGAGATACAGATTTGGCTTGTGGATACATTTTCCTGTTGATGGATATTTAGTCTTTATCAACAATAAATGAACTCGATTGACTTTGGTCTTTATTGATGATAAATAAACTCTACAAATAAATCCTACAAATAAGATTACCCCTCAGAAATAATTAATTTTCTACCATTCTACCAGAGGTTCAGTCAGTGCCAAAATCTGACCATTCACAAAAGATCAGACTAGAAAAGATATGACTGTAAGTGACCATATAGAGTCTTAAAACCATGTGAAACCAAGTCCCTCCAGGCTTGAAGTCCTTATATTCAGCTGTTCTTCTTCCAAATTCTTCCTCATGGCATAGAGAAAGCCAATCAAAATATGACAATATACAGTCAAAAGTGTTTTAGCTAAAAGGATCATCTACTTATGAATCATGATCCCTGAGATGGTAACTGAAGAAAATTAATTTTGGAAAGGATTAATTCATTCAATCTCCATATTTTATAGCTGTAGAATTTGAAGACCAGACAGATTAAATGACTTGCCCAAACTCACACAATAGGTGGTCACGGAGCAACCATGGGGCATACGAGGATGAAGTTGATACATATATAATCCAAGGAAGACTGTTTACCTGAATTTCTTATGTTGGTGTTATTCAGTTTGGAGTCCTTTATTACCAAGTGTTTAATCCATAGAGTAGGAGCTGTGATTTCTGGGGGGAAAAAAAGAAGAGAGAAAAAGTCTGAGCAAAAAAAGTATGTGACTTACAGTGTCACCCTCAGATTTTTATTATTGTAGCATTTTAAAAGCCTAAGACACAATCTCCCTCACTGCATATCCACCTTGTTGAAGTGCCCTCTCCTTTCCTCAGAAGCTCCTCTCCCCACCAGCTCCTAAGGGCCAACCCAGGCACCCTGTGCCAGGAGGCAGAGTGGGCAGAGCCCAGAGGCTCTGAGCCACTCCATCCAGGAATAAAAATATTATCCCAGGAGGTAAGGAACAAGGGCCAAGCCAAGTCCTGCTCTGCTGCTTCCCTAGGAGAAGATTTTAAAGGGGATAAATCAACAAACAAATGCCAAACAAACCACAGACACCATTTTAGAGGAAATGGCTGAGCCACAACAGATTCAGCTTGCTGAGACTCTGCTCCACAAGGGAAAGAAAGTAAAGGGTCTAATGTGCACTTCAAACCCTTTCTAATGGTTTCTCACTGAACAGAGGCTGAGTTCCTCTGTCCAGAGAGTACCAGGGTGCCCCCAAGCTCTCCAGGATGTGGGTCACCCAGTGGACAGGAGGTATGGGAATCCCAGATGACCCTGAGCATACTGTGGAGTGGTAAAGTCTTCAGTGAGGGTTTTGGAGAGGTCTCCCAAGATGGCATGGGCTCCATTTCCCACCAGATCCCCCAGGTCCCAGACTTGTCAATGATCCAGGACCTTTGTGGATCATGGAAACAGTGTGAACTTCTGGATATGAACATACATATGTTCTGCTAAATAAATTGGTTGCAATGAATATCTCTCACTCCAATCCTTTTGCTCAGAGCTGAGCCTATGATAGGGACCCCCTAGCACAGTGCCCACTTTTTATTTCTCTATCTCAATGTCCAATCTCATGATCCAGGGCTGGACATACTCAGGTGAGAATGGCTAAAAATTTGCCGCATATTTCACTAAAGCCTTGTTGGACTTTATAGAAATCGCCCTCTGTCAAATGTTCTTTTCCTCCTTGAGGGAATGTGGAGTGCTCAGTAACAACACTAAAGAATATAGGCCCTGAGCAGCTCCCCTCTGCGCTGGGGCCCAACCTTCTACATCTCATGCATTCTATCCATTCCCCACATCTCCAGAGAATTCCAGCTTCTATTTTACCACCAGCTACCACTACTTCTCTTGACCTAGAATTTCTTCTCTCCCAAATGTCTTGATTCAACTCTCAAAGTCCCTATAACTTAGCCAACCCAGGCCCACTAACCCACCTCCCCCCTGCTGCCCTGCTCAGCATACTCCATCCTCCCCAAGGTCCCTCTGTCCTTGCCAGACTCCTGCCTGCAGCACACTGCTTCCTCCCTCCCTCCCTCCCAAGACCCAGATCTTCATAGAAGCTTTCCCCAGACCATTATGATCTCTTTCTTCTATAAATGTCTATTCCACAAAAAATTGAGACCATATTATTTAGCAAACAAAGCTCTCTGATAGTTCTAGCTATCTCGAGAGCAAATGCTCACATTTGCACACCTCCCTTTCATCTCCGAGAGGGCCTCACACAATGCTAGGCCCAGAGTGGGCAATTGGAAGTGTTGATTAGTTTACTAAAGGCCTGACTTTCTCAGCCATGATTCCTGGGTCTTGGCAGCTCAAAGGGTCTGTCCAGGCTGTGGTATTGTTGGACATCAGGAGATAGGCAGGAAGCCTAAGGGGAACAGAGGGCCTTTCCAGAAGTGGAGCGTGTACCAGTTCCTTGGAGAATTTTCATTTTTAAAAAGTTTAGAACAGCCCAGTTGACACTGGGAAAAACTGAGATTAAAAAAGAAAATAACAATAATAATAAAGCAAACAAACATGCCAATTTAAGACCTTCCTCAAACCTGAAGATGTGCGGGAGAACCAAAGTCAGCAGGAACGTGAAGGCTTACCGTCTCCATCGAACACCGGCTGAGTCTCCATCGTGGGTGTCGGCTTGGACCCATCGTCTGAATTGAGGGTTAAAAAGAACCGAAAAGAGACTACCATTATTGAGGTAAATACTATCTACTCTCCAGCACTGTTGAATGGTTGGGGTTTGTACATGGCCCGGCCAAGTCCCAGTGAATAGACCAAAGAAGAAGAAATGAAAGAAGAAAAGAGCAAGAAGGAAAGGAGAACCACAGAGAGACACCAACAGTAAACAAATCCAGGTGTGTGCACACCGTCCCGAGAGATGCCAAAGGGGCCTACGATGCTGTGGCTTTGGAGGAGCTTTTCTCATAAACCTGAGGACACCAGGTTTATGAGACTGCCAGCCCTTGTTCCTCCTTGCAGGAAAGTTAGGGGGAGGAGTCTCTCCCAGCAGTCCTAAGTTTTGGCCAGGCATGATAGGATAAGGCTGGCATCCCTTATGGCATCAAATTCTGGTGACCCGTTTCTTTCTGCCCTCTTGTGAAAGGTACCAGCTCAAGTACTTTTTTCAAGTAGCCCTGATTAAAGAGCTTAAGAACAACAAAAGACCAGGGTGCTCTTGCCCTTCCAAACTCCTGGCAGTTTTATCAACTCACCTAAAAAAGATGAGACGGTGGGAAGGACCGTTCTCTTTCCAGCACACTGAGCTAAAGACAATCAGGAATCCTTAGAACGGGTGAGCTGCAAAACAGCACACACCCCAACTCCCAGCAAGAGGACAGGATGGGAGAGGATGTGGGAAATTGCAGAAATCCCAGACTTGCTTGGAAATTCCTAACACAGATGATGGAAGCAGAGAGCACCTAGTAAGCCAGCCCTGGGGTCTATCATTCCAGCGGTGCTGGCAGCTCCCTTTGCAGAGCAAGAACCTGCACAGGTCAGAAGTTAGCCCAGGCCTTTTATATTCACCTTCCAAGACTGAGGTATTTTCATCAAGGCCCCCCAAACCTTAGCACAGAGCAGTATTTCACAGCCTTTCTTCTATTATCATCCATGTAAGGAGCACTTTCAGACAATTTTTTCCCAATCACTTCCCCCAGGAAGTTTAAAAGCACAGATAAACTGAATATATATTTGTGTTTTATATGTTAAAAGCATAAAATCTTTTTTTAACCTCCCAGGAAATAATTGCACCCCCTGGTGAAGGCTGGGAGCGGGCATCTTTTTCTCTCCTTAGAATACACAGGTTAGAGATTTCTCTTCTGTTTTCTCCCTTGGTGGGGTGAGGGAAGGAGAGCATTGTTGTCTCAGATGGTTTGATGATTACACCATCCCTCTCTTCCCAAGACCCCCCAGAGGCCTTTCAGAATGGAACACTACATCCTCTGAGCATTAACTATTTATGGAGAATGCAAATTCTCAGATAGTCTCTGCAATGCAGATCAGGCCATCAATAACAGCAACGCTCCCACCATTTGCAGCTCTCAGTACCTTTGGCCAACTTTCCTGCATTCTATCTGGAGAGACAGAAAGAATAGAGTCCTGATCTCTTTTTCACATTAACATATCACCCTTGGGATCTTAAGATTCGAGAGCTATGGCGACTCAAACCCTTGCTACAGGCTGAGGCCAACAGCTGAGCCCAACTCATGTGAAAACTAACCCTGCTATTAGTCTCCAGCTGACACCAGGGCCCAACTCTCACAGGGACTGAAGCAATCCTGAACAATCATCCCAGGGAATGAGACACAGCAAGAAATGAGGAGTAACTATCCTGGGTATCTTATTTGCCTCAAACTGGAGTCCAAAACAGGCATCTTTTGATGCCAAGCTGTGTGAGTTTGATCTGGAAATCATTGAGAGAGAATAAGCACAGAACAGAGCCACACAATGTCATTTTTTTAATAGCATCACTTCCCTTGACTCTATTAACACCTCTTTCCATTGAATTCAGTGAGCCACTGAATGAAGTCTTTTGGCAGCTGCAATGAACATTTGGTTGTGCCTGCCGGATACAGAATTCGCAGTCTAAACAGCCCCGCACAGAATGCTCAGCTCCTCCACACAGGGTGGCTTCATTTTAGGAGACTTCCAGGCCACCAAAGGCAAAGTGAGAAATCAGATATTCCAAGAGGGACAAAGGTGAGAACCCTGTGCAAAATGGCTCATGCAGCATTTTTATATATAACATAGTCATTAAAATCCTCCTACAATACCAGAGCTGTGTTTCTTCTCTGGAACAAAATAACTGAAAACATTCTGTTTATTTCTCCTATCATCCAGCCAAGAGCCTGCAACTGCCCACCTGCTCCAGTCATCAGCAAATCTGTGCTCAAAGAGAGCAAAGAGAGTTTCCTGGGGAAGCTTTACACTTTTGCAGGTCAAGGACTTCCACAGATTGCCCAGATGTGGGCACAGAAGCCCACGAGGCATGAAGCCACGTGCAGGGAGGGAATCTTCCTGCAGGGTAGGGTCACCGAGGGTGAAGAGATACAGCTGTTCTGCCACAAGGGAGGCCCTGAATGGAAATCTTTATGAAGTGAGAAAAGACAAGGTGCCCTGCTGCCAGGAGCCACCTGTGCCCAAAGGCTGGGAATCCTAGCCAAAGCCAACAGGACTCTCTAACCATCATCTCCGGGCACCTGGGCACCTGGCTTCTGACCCAGTAAATAAGCACACCTCTTCTACCAAACATAGGTCCAAGGCCAGGGTCCAAGATCCACATCAGTTCTGCTTCCAGGCAAGCCTTGGAGCAGCACCAGGCCCCATACTGAGCCTTGGGGAGAGAGTAAAGTTTCTGCATGTGCCCCTGACCTCCCAGTTGCAAGTGGAGTCACCCCCCAGTTCCCACTTTATATCCAATAAGTTGGCTAATCTGAACCCCTCACTTTACTTCTCTGGACAGCAATATCCTCTTTGGATATTAAAGGCCTACCAAGCCTCTGGACACTATGTAGGTATAAAAACTTTAAAGGACTATTAAAGGGGGAATATAATTCCATGATGGCTAACCATAAAGCAAACCTTACAACTCAATGACAAACAACCTTATTTTAAAATGGGCAAAATATTTGAATAGACATTTCACTAAAGAAGATTTATGGACAGCTAATGAATACAGGAAAAGATGCCCAACATAATTAGTCACTAGGAAGGTGCAAATTAGAACCACAGTGAGATACCACTAAACACTCAGTGGAACGGCTAAAATTAAAAAGATAGACAATACCAAGTGTTGGCAAGGATATAGGGAAACTGGAACCCTTGCTCATTGCCTGTGGAAATGTACAATTGAGCAGCCACTTTGGAAAACAGTTTGGCAGTTTCTTTAACAGCTAACTGTAAACTTTTCAACCCCCAAATTCTACTCCTAGAAATCTACCCAAAAGGGGAAAAACATGTCCATACAAAAGATATGTATACAAATATTCATCATAGCATTATTCACAACAGCCTCAAACTGGAAACAATCTATGTGTCTGTCAACCAGTGAACAGATAAGTTGTGTGATATATCCACACAATGAAATACTATTCAGTAGTTAAAAGAAATGAATAACTAATACATCTGATGACATAGATGAAAAGCCTCAAAAGCATTACGCCAGACGAAAGAAGCCAGATGCAAATATTACATATTGTACAATCCTATTTATCTGAAATGTCTAGTTTTAAAGGTTAATTCTTTAGAGACAGATCAGCAGCTGCCTAGTGTTGGGTGGGAGTGGAATATAACTGTAAAGGGGCTCAAGATTTCCTTGGAGGGCAATGGAGACGTTCTCTGGTGATAGCTGTACAACTCTATTATTATTATGTATTAAATTCACTGGATTGTACATTTACAATGGGTGAATTTCATGGTATGTAAATTATACCTCAATAAAGTTGCTAAAACAAAAGAGGGGGAGTGCCAAGGTTGTCACAGATAAATCATTTGGCAGCAGCAGTTAAATTATTTGAGCAATCTTTACTTTGGAGAAAAATTCATCCACATATTTTAGATACATCTGAAATCTGATTAAATAGATGTATATGATGATTTGATGACTGATGATTATTCTTGCAGATTCTTTTGGACCTCAAATAGGGGAGATCTTGTTTCTTTTTAATATCATAATACTCTTCCAGACTAAGGGGAAGAGGGTAAACACTGAACAAAGCCAATTCAAGGATTATCATTTTTCTTACGGGGAGGAGAAGAAAAGGAATTTGGAAATGTTAAGAGAAATACATAAATAAAGCAAACCTGAGAGAATTTCGCAAGGATGATGTCGAGCTTAACAACCGTAATAATATTAGCACAGTTTGCAACACTCGGTTTCTGGCAGGTGGCTTTCCTAATCTATTCTCACCACCAGACAAGGGGAGGAAGTCACTAGGCAGATAAAAAGAACTGAGTCTCAATGCAAGTAAGTGATTTGCTCAAGGTCCCAGAGGCAATGAGCAGCTTTGGAAACCACCCAGACCCAGAGCCATGGCGTTTGGCCTTCCGGGATTCCCCACCCCCCAACCATGCCTTGTCCTTGCAGGTGCAGCCCCCGCATGGGCTCTGTGAGCCTTTACAGACAGTGGGTTTGTGTGACAGCACAATTCCTTGCCCTGCGAGAAGGCCTGGCCCACGCACAGACAGCTGGAAGTCACTTCGACCCCCGATGACACCGTTCAAAGCCTCCTCTGTTTGGCTTTTTGATTCCTGATTGACATTCGCTGGCGAGGAGAGATAAATGCTGGGCTGAGGACAATGTTGATCCGCTCTGACTATTCTCAGGGAAAGACTTTTCAGAATAACAAACAAAACAAAACAAAAACCCAAAAACATTGGTGTGCTTAAGGGACTGAATAGAGCCCAAGAGGTCCAGGGAAGTAGGGCCGGGCCTTTCAAGGGGCTGGCAAGTCCATTGAGGAGTTAATTGTTTGGGTGTACAATGAGTTTATTCTGACCACATACAAAGAGCTTTCTCTTCCAGGTCCTTCAAAAGCAAATGTCTCAAAGGGGCCAGAGTAGGAATCTGTATTAATGGCATCTCTTGGGGTCTCTGAGACTGAGGAGCCTTGGAGAATGAGGAAAAAAGAAACCACCACCCCCATTCTGAGCTTCAGAAGGTCTCTCCACAATCCCAAGTCCCCTT